AATTGGCAAATACTAGAGCTAGATATTAATAGTAACATCAAAACTATAGCCAGGCTGAAATACTTTTAAATGGCATTTAAATGAATTCATATTCCTTTTGGGCAGTTCTCTGAGGCATTTAAAACATGCTGTGACATACTGAATCAAACAGGGGCTAAGTGCGAACAAACTTCATTCCTAGAAATGCATTTCTCTATTTGCAAGTGTTTGCCTTTACTTTGGCACGATCACATGGGCTCCAGCTAGACTTTTGAGCTCTGGCAGTGATCCAAGCTGCAGATGGTTGGAAATGCAGCCTGAAATCAGTGTGTGGTTGATGAATTACTCCTTACACCTGACCCCTGCTTCACACCAGGCACCAAACACAATCTGAACACTACCAGCCAAAGAAGCCCTGTCAGGCATCTCCGTATCTGGAACGCTTTCTTCAAGGCCTTCTGTACGGCCAGATGGCCAAAAGTGGGGAATGCCGTAAACCCGCTAAACAGAAACGTGAGTGACTAAAGGGATTGGTAGGTAAAAGGTGAAGAGAGGCAAGAGCTTTGCACCGATTCCAAGTGCACACTTTCCAAAAGAGACCGATGGAGCAGGGAGGAAGGTATGCTCATGCCACACAACTGAAGGAAGTCCCCAATTCCCTCATACCAAAAGATGCCCTAAAAAATGTCAAAAAGGAGACATAACACAAACCCGCATGTGTGCCCACAAAGTCACCAAACCAAACTTAAACTATTCTGAGTACACCTGTTTGAATTGCCTAATTGTTTTTTACTAAGCTGGAGCATGTATCTATCATTTCAGGAACAGGCTCATTAAGCCCTCTTGATTGCAGGTGAGTCTGCATCCCCTTCACAGCCACAAAGATGCGGTTTTATTCAGGTAGGTGTTGGGCAATCACACTTCTTCCTTTTGCACGTGTTCACACATGCATCAAGCATACAGAGATGGAGAGGTTCTGTGGGTACTGTAAACACTGCCTCTTGTTTTGGGGTGTTTCTGCCATCTGACTGGGTAGCAGAGACAACAGCATGAAAATTAAACTAGCAGACCCAAACCATGACTAATAAGTAGGAAATATCTGGAGAATGCATGAAAGCAAACCACACGGAAATAGCTGCTTAACTGGCATATTTTTACCCCAAGTGCAGGTATAGAGATCGTAAACCAAACAACTCCTGTCGACAGGTAACTGTGGCACCTCCTCCTTTCTACCCAAGTGATTCAGGTTTTTTCAGTAGACTGTTTGCAAAGAAAGCTGACCCCAGCAAGAGGTCTAATCATAAGCTGCGGAGGACAAAGATAAAACACATCACCTACTAAATCAAGGAAACTCTTTCAAATATATTCAGAGTTAATATTTTTCCCCTTTTTCATATTATAACATGAAATTTCACTGTGCTTCTTTTTGTTTTCTTCTGTGCTAAATGGCAAAGAGAAAAGAATTTGCTTTGGCAAGCAAGAAACAAAAGAAAGAAATTCAGATCATAATGCAAGATTTGGCATCCTTAACATTCTACGTGACAATTTGCAACGTACTGCTGCAAACCAGTTGTTTGAGTAGTTACACCATCAGCAAGGATGCAACTGAGGAATTTCTCCTAACATCTCAAAATAAAATAAAAAAGTACTACAGATTCTCATCAGATATACATGAGCTGAACCACCTCCCTGCAATATTTTTTTGCAACAAGAACACAAGACTATGCTTCACTTACAACAGTAACCAGAACCATTTACTCCAAAATAAACTCCTAGGATAATTGGACTCTCTCCCTACTTTCAGCATCTGCCTAAAGTTCCAAAACTGTACATTCAAACTGAAGTTGTCAGACAGCGTCACACCAAAACCCAGTGCTTGTCCTTAAGAGACATATTAAATTCCTTGCAAGTGCCTTATAAGGATTGACACCCTCCCCTTCCTCTCTTTTTTGGATGACAATGGCTTTTCCTAAACCTGAAATCAAAGTTTTAGCTTCAGTGGTGGCATTTGATAATAAAGGAGCCCAAGTAAATGGAACTAGTGCATGCTTTATGTTCCACAAAAGGCCACAAAACACTAAAAAGTTAAAGCAATCAGACAAACATATGGAATCCATTTTTTCTATTTATAATCCCATTACCCATATAGCTATTCATTTACACCCTTTCTGCACAAGAACACGCCAGCCCCTTTAGAAGACACACACACGGACTGTAGGCTGGAATCCTGCGCAGCTCCATGCTCCCCCGTGAGAGGGACGTGATGTACAGTAATGCGGTACTTCTCAAAGGAGAACCAAGGCAACTTCACCAAACAAGCAAAGTAAAAGCAGCACTTCACCCAAACACGCTGGGGAGCATGAATTTCCAAACTTTGCCTGTTGAACACAGTGCCACTCCGAATTTCAGAAGCTGTACAGAAATGCCATAAGAAAACCTAGAATTTCTTTCTTTCTTTTCTTAATTACAAGTGAATGTGCAAACCTCTCCCCCCGCCCTGCATGCATGACTATGAGCATAAAAACACATTATTTCTGTAGAGCTGAGTCCTACCATGCTTGGTACAAAGAGCAGTTTTTGGAAAATAAGAAGCTGAAATTCTCAGGCTGGCTGGAACCATACAAAGGTTTATTTATATGTGTTGCTCCAATAGGGATGATAAAAGATAACAGCTCTCCACCACAAGATTATTTGATTACTCAACTATTAGCTTTAGACATACAATGGATCTAACTGCTTTAAAATGTCCCAGAAGCTGATGGCTAGCTTTAAGGTAACAAAATCCAGATGCTGCCTGTCTGCACTACTTTAAAGTCTTATTATGGTCTATAGAAGAGAAATACTTGCAACTGGATGTGTGTGTGTGCATATATATATACATATATACACACACATATGCGCACGTGTATGTGTGTTTATTATTTAGAGTTTATATACGCCCTTAACTGTGGACCAAGGAAAATATGAAAAAATAAAGGCATATAAAACGTATCACCAATTTGAAATTTTACCTGTCCTTACTGTAATAGTGCCAGACTGATGCACATGACTTTTCACAGCGTTGATAATTTTATATACCGGCTATAAAAATGCATTTAAGTTATTTTTTAAAGCAAGGGGTTAAAAAAAAAGTCATGGTACAGAAAAGCTACTTTTCTACTTTAAGCTCAAATACAAGGTTAATTTTTTCAAAAAGCTTATTTTAGAAGGTTAAAAAAAAATAAGAAAAAAGAAATAAAAAGGACAACTGGCAAAATGTAAACTATGTGAGTAAAAGGGATGGAATGTCCAATATTTCTCCTCCAATACTCGAGGCTATTGTTCTTTCAAAAAAACACCATCAATTGTTTCATGTCCTTGGCTTGCCAGGTTTTGAGGAATAGCATCAGCCTGCGTCCCCAATCCCCCAAACAGTTAAAGCTATAGGCAATATTGCAGTCAAGCTAGTGACGGGCTGCTGCTGCAACAGCAACATTACACACTAAATGGTCACAAAGGTAAAACGCTATTTGAATTGACCTTGAAAGAAAGGGGGGAGAAATTATAAATTCCATGCCGAAATACAAAATTTAAAAAAGGATGAATTTTATACCAAAAAAATATCTGCATGTTGCAGTGAAAGAAACAGCAGAGCAAAGAAGTGAGAGGTAACCCTGCCATGAATTACAGGGCTGTAATCACACTGAGTGCTTCTGGTGTCATCAGAACTCCAAACAGCCTGAATTGCAGTTTTTACAATTAGTTAATTTATATAATGCAGTAGTCGGGCTATAAACGTTAACGGGAAAGTAATTTTTATTAACAAGGAATATAACTTATCCTTTCGCAACTGCTGCCAGATCAACGTGCTTCAAACCAAAAGTCTGGAGAAGTCAGCCTCCCTTGTGGCACTTCTTCACCACACACAGTTGCACACATCAAATGTCCCATGTGTTAAATTTGCCACAGGAGCGCGATGTGTATATGTGCACGCAGTACCATATGCACGTGTGCGCGCCCTGCCTTGGCTTTTCCCTCGGATGTTCGTTTATTTACTGAAACTGTTCATCTGTGGCTATGAGGCCACGCTTCACCTTGTGAAGTGTGTATTTTTTCCTTTTTCTTTCCTCCAAATACAGTGTCCTGACAGGGTTTGCAAACTTTCGGTTTAGAGCTTTCTTTTGTTACTGTCCTTTGGTCACACAGGAAATCTTTTCAGAGAGCAGGCTATTATACAATGGCATTATAAAAATAAGGCTTTAATTAACTAACTCATGGCCAGGTAGCATAAACTTCACTCAGCCTCTCTAAGAGAGGCTGGCCTGCTTTCCAGTCTGCTGGCATTTTAAAAATTATTAAGAAAAGAAAAAAGAAAACGGAAGCGTCCGCGCTTGGATACTCTCTCCAGAAGTAGTTACCCTCTATTGCTAGACCTTTTAAATGCAACGGCGTACAGCCATATCAGCCTCAATATTTAATGAAATATTAAAACCAGTGCAATGCACTGAAACAAACTCCACCAGATTTACAGACGGTTAGCTCTGAGCTCTCCCTCCGAGCTCCACAGCATCTCCTCCTCAGCTGATTAAAAGTTTGAGTCGCCACAGACAGCTTTTCTAGCAGCAAAATGCTTTTAAGCTGTGGAAAAACTGTAGAGATCACTGGAAGACCCACCAAAAGTGTTTTATATCCGATGCTGTCCAGAGCAATCTTTATCCCATGCCATAACAAACACACTACCTGCCCGCTGTTACGATAGCGTTAACCGCACTGTTCTCCCCAAACAATAAAAGGAATTAGCCGACGCCAGCAGCCCTTGGGGAAAAAAAAAAATAAATTAAAATAAATAAAGAAATAAATGGGAGGGCAGACAGTAACCTTCCTGCCTCTCTCACGCCTGCTCTCTGCCTACCAGCTTCGCTCTGTGTGACAGCAAACCAGAGAAAGAGACAGGAAAATCGCCAAAGCGAAGAGGCGAGCCCGCAATTCGCGCGGCTCCGCTCTCCATCCCCCGCCAGGCACCCGGCCCCGCCAGCCCTTACCTTGGTTTGGAGATAGTGGGGGTAGTAGTAGGTGTACTGGGGGTACATTGGCTGCTGGTCCAGGCGTTTGCCCATGTAGCTGGAGTCCTTCTGGCTGGTGCGGGGAACTCGTTGGCAGGGTGTAGTGCCCCAGGGCCTTTCTTCCTCTCACGCCGCTACTCCTGACAGCGCGGGCGACAGAGGAGGCTGCCGAGACTTCCTCGCCGTCTACCGCGCGCTACTTCCAGCGCAGCCAAAAACGCTCCCGCACGAACATATACGTGTGTGTGTGTGTGTGTGTGAGAGAGAGAGAGAGAGAGTGTGTGTGCGCGAAGGGGGGTGTGCGGGTGTGGGTGCGTGGCTGGGTGAAAGCCCCGTGCCCGGGTGCCCGCGGCGGAGCAGCCCGCCTCTCCCGCTGGCAGCAGCGTGCCTCCGGCGGTGCCCGCTGCCCGGCTCGGGAGGGAACCGTCCTGCGAGAGGAGCCGGGAAGACAGTGCAACTCCAAATCTCCGCAGAGCCGCTCGCTCGCTCTCTCGCTCGCTCTCCCTCGCTCTCTCTCTCTCTCTCTCTCTCGCTCGCTCTTCTCGTCCTCTCCTCGGCTCGCTCCGCTCTCGAGCCCTCCCCTCTCGCTTCCCCACCCACCCCCCTTCCAACCAAACGGAAAAAAAAAAAAAAAAAAAGAGAGGAAAAAATAAAGAAGAATAAAGAAAAGAAAAATAAAGAAAAAAAAAAGAAAAAAAAAAAAAAAAAAAAAGAGAGGAAAAAATAAAGAAGAATAAAGAAAAGAAAAATAAAGAAAAAAAAAAGAAAATAAAAAAAAAGGGGGGGGGGAGGGAAGAGCCTTCCCCAGCCTAGTTGCCGCTGCCTCCCTCACGGAGTGACATGGTGCTCAGGGCTCGTCCTGTCTTTCATTCAAACCCCCTCCGCGCCGCGCCGCCGGTGGGAGGGACCTCGGCGCGCCGCTCCCCCGGGAGGTCGGCGCAGGCCGCGCGGCCGCCTCCGCGCCCCCGCCCGCTCCGCGCCCGCGCCGGACCGGGCAGCTCCGGAAAGCGGCCCTGGGACTCGGGGGACGAGGCACACCAGCCCCAAAACGCGGTTTCATATTTATGATTTTAATTTAAAATATATATACATGTATTTTTTAACGAACGGGAGGGGGAAGGTCACGGAGCTTGGTCGCCGAGCAAGGAAGTCGTCGTCGTCCTCTCTCTTCAGAAAACTACTCCGCACCGTCATCCGGCACTTCGGGGAGAGGCGACCCCGGGCCAGACATATTAAATACATACTTTGTTAGACCGCTTATATAAGACTTGGTTTATTTAAAGTTGGAACAAAATGGAGGAAGAGGGTAAAGGGGAAATTCGGCCGGCCTGACGTGCGGGTGCCTTCTTTCCCCAGACGTGTGAAAATACCACAGTGCCACAAAAGTTACCCGCGGCTGCGTTTCCCCCGGCCGGGCTCCCCCGCTCGCAGCAGCTGCCGCCGCCGCCCGGGCCCAGGTGAGGGCCAGGTGTGGCCCCCGCGTCCGGCCGAGAGCCCCACACCTGCCACAGATCCCAGGCGTGCAGGACCTGTGTCAGCACCGCCATCCCAAATATTTATCCTCCGAAAGACTCGAAGGAAGAGTCTGTCTTACAACAGGGCTATAAATCATCAGGAAAAAAAAAGTGCGTGAATAACAAAATGTTTCCTCTCGTACACAAATCCTAGCGTTTCTCCTTTTTTATAATAACTTATTTCTTTAACATGTCATCAGATTCCTGAGCCTTTCTACAGTGGTTTTGCCTATTTATAAATTTTTGGGGGAAAAAAATGTGGGGCTGCAGTTTCTTTTTGTTTTTATTTAAATCATCCATAGTATGGCAACGGGATTGTCAGCTGCTGTATTATCAACCAAATTGCTTCAAAAAAAAAAAAAAAAAGGAATTATAAAAAGAATTTCTTTAAAGGGACACTTCTCAAGGCTGGTAGAGCTAAAATTAGACTTGCCAGCTGTGTTTTGGTTTGTGGGCACGTGCTTGCACATGACAGGAACATGGAAATATCACGCTTTACTCCGGCAGTTTGCTATTCTCAAAAGCAGAGGGTTTTGTTATGGATTCCCATAACTGCCCCACAGCCAGTCCAAAAGGGCAGCGTGGAAAGCCATACACACGCTCAGAACACTGCCTATACACTGTGCTTTCATCACCAGGCATTCATAATCGTTGGTTCTTAGGTACCAGCCCTCTGTCACACAGTGGGAACCCCATGCCATGCTCGTACAGGTATTTGCCTCCTGTGGCAGGAGAAAACCTTTTGCAAAATGAGTGCTCTGTTCCCAGAGCACTGTACAGTCATTCATCAGGTTCCTGCACACCTGGGTGAGCCTAGTGGAGCACTACCATCGCCCCAGTTTCCAACAGATGCAGAAGAAAAGCCTGGTTGGATAAACTATTGAATATTTTCATTCCCTATAATTAGTATTATCATTCCAAGCTGGCCAGGACCATGTGGTCCCTCTTCTGAGGGCCCCTCTTTTTCATTCATCTTCTCTTCTGAGAAGTGAATTTAGAAAAAAGATAGAAATGGGAAGAGAAGCCAGCAATCCCCACCTCCCAGCCCCACGGTTTGTATCACTGCTCAGCTTTAAATATGCTGCCTTTCATTGTAGTGTAGGATACTCTTGCTTACACTTTCTTCTCCCCCGAACCCCCCCGCCCTGCTCAGCTTTCCCTGAGGGTGAAATAGTCTGAGGGTTGGGATCTGCAGAAGTGAATAGTGATTACTTGACGGTTCATGATACTTTGAGCCGAGACAACTTTCAGATTGTTCTTTCAACTGCCAGAATTAAGTTGTTGTGCTTCTCTCCTCACCTTCTCAATTTTCCCTCAGGATATTAATGCAGTTTTTCTTGCTAAGCGGTTTGCTTGTAGATGTGGATGTAACCAGATTTGGGAGAAGAAAAAACCTATGTGTAGAGGGCAAAATAAAAGATAAATACCAAAGGAAGTAGAAAACTGTGCATTCTGACCAAGAAAGCTATTTGAACATGCAAGGTTTTCCATGATCATTATTTTAAATCCAGGAAGGGCTGTTTTGACTACATCATTTGACAACTGTGAGTATTTCAAATCATGCCATAAAATTTCAACCCAAGTTTTCCACACGCTTCCCCATCAGATGCACTGGCTAGTAGCTCCAGCAGTTCTGAGAAAAGGTGAGAAGCTACAGGAGAAGTGGGACTATTATTATCTGAGTGGGGAACAGCTCCACCTTTCATCTGCTCTCTCTTAGCAAAAGCCTTCAATATGCAGATGCTTTGGATTTCCCTTTTCACCTGTAATCCTGACCAGATGCTGAGCAGCCTCTGCTGTTTGCTCTGAGTCCTCGGCATCTCGCATGATTGAGCCTTCAGAGATGCAAGACGGAGTGGAGGCAGCAAAAATAGGAATTCAATATAAAAGAGTGGGGGGCCAAGGGGAGAAGACAGGAGGCAATATAGCATAGCAAAAATGCAAATGAACAGCCACAAAAGCAGATTTAGATAGCATACAGCCTCTGAACAAATGCTAGTGCTGGAAAATGGAAAATTTCCATTTGCAAAATACAGACATCAAAAAGATCATCTGTGACTTGGGAGCACACTGTTTAAATAGAATCCCCTTCATTTTCTGGCCTGTGCATTTGAATAACTGAATCCACTTGCAAACTGAAATAGCAGTTTGCCTACCGAGTGTTAAGTATAAATGTTCCTCAAAAGAAAAGACAAGCTGTTCGATCCCAGTGAGCAACGGTGAACAAACTTCACAACTTTTTTTTTCCTTCCTATGGGAGGGCTCACTATCAAGCCCCAGCCAGTCCCAGCCTTGGGAACCCAGGGAGCGAGACAGATCCCAGTACATCTGCAAAGGCACTGCTGCCACTGGTGTCACTGACCTGAGGGCAGATTCAAGAGCCAGGTGTGCAGTATGGATCTTTTCAATGGGAAGTTTAAATAAATAAAATTAAATTAAATAAATGGGAACACATCATCTGTAAAACTGACAGCCAAGTACATTCAAAGACAGCCACCAAAGGATATTATTAACCCACCAACAACCAAAGCTGTGGATAAGAAACCTGGAGTTAACCAACAGAAGTGAAAAGAAAAAAAAAAAAAAGAAAAAAAAAAAGAAAAAAAAGACTCATTCTCCTAACAGCCTGAAGTACAGAAAAACTGAATATGTTTGGATGTATTTTTACCTGCCATAGAATGCAGATTTCTTCATTCACAAAAACCGAGTTACAAGAAAAAAGCAGATACCTAGTAGAAAACTCAGGGACTTCTATTTGATAAAATACAATTCTATGCACTTTTTTTTAAAATAAGCTATCCTATTAAAACCTTCTAAAGCCACAGGTATCAGAGTCAGGGAGCAATTCAAACATTTTCTAGCTCCTTGCTCTTGAAAAGCAGTAATATGTATTCTAGAAGAATTAACTTCTGGCAAAATTATGTCAAAATTTTCAAAGTCAGAGCTAGAGAAATAGAGATACCACCACCTAAAGCAATATAATAGGTTAAAAAAAAAAAAAGAACAATTATATTTGGCTTACATTTTTTAACCTGTCTCTCTGCTTTTATTCTATTTACTCATTAAAGCTATTACAAAGGAGACCATAGTAATGCTTGACAGCTTGTTTACAGTGGATGACAAGATGACCAAGGATTTTATTTTTAGATCTGTCAGCTCCTTCAGTCCAGCTTCCTTAAAACTATATTGATGAACACAGAATTTTACTATTTAATGGATCATTTATCAAGCTGATTTATCTAAGGAGAGCTAACCAAGTTTCTAAGAAGGTACATAGCCTGGTGCAACCATCAGTAAAGCATGTGATAGCCATGGAAAAGGTGAAAAGACACAGAGGATCGAAAAACCTTAACAATGTCAGTGTTAAGTGTCTGGGATTGACAGAACCTCTCTGAGTTGGGGGATGCCACTGTTTTCAGGTGCTTTCATTTCATAAAAGGCCAAACACCACTGGAGGTGGCATTACCCACTCACACACACCCTTTCTCTGCCTGCATGAAAAAACCCTGCAGTATTGCTCTCCAAGCTTCATCAGTAACCAAACTAAAAGTAAATCTGAAAGAGTTAATGGATAAGATTTTGGATAACAGCAAAGAATTGCCATCTATCATCATACTTCATTATTTTTCACTTTATCACCTTCTGTCTTTACATTATGGCTCAGAGGTTTCTGTTAGTCTACTTTTACCTAAACACCCAGTCCTAGAGGAAATCTTTGGACAGCAGCAGAGTGAAAAATTTTAGATGAAAAGTGAACAATGAACATTCACTAAATTGTTTGTGTTTTCCACCTGATAATCCCTTACAAGCACAAGCCAGTGAAACTAGCAGTCAGTTGTACAGACAGACTGAAATTATGCACAAATGTCTTCT